GTCATTAGGTAGAATGAAACAGGTGCCTTAGGTGGGTTCACTGTAAATAATTCCAAATATCAGTTCCTGGAAATCACATGAGAGGAGAATGCTTTTCTGACTGGGTCTTGCTTGCCTCCCAAAGGCATCTGGTTGGCCACTTGAGAACAAGATGGTGGATTAGATGGGCCATTGGCCTGATCCAGCAGGCTCTTATTTGTTTTTGTTTTTTTGTTTGTTAGATTTATAAACCACCCTTCATAAAGAAAACTGAGAATGGTTCATAAGATAAAATGGAATAAATCCACAAACAGATAACTACAACAAAAATCAACAAAGCAATAGCCCCTCCTCCCCCCACAAACACATTTAAACAGCTGTAAGAATATAAATCAACCAAAGGCCTTGTTGAAGAGGAACGTTTTTGCCTGGTGGCTAAAGAGTCATAAGGAAGGCGCCAGGTGAGCCTCCCCGAGGAGAGCATTCCACAAATGGGGAGCCACTGTAGAAAAGGCCCATTCTTGTCTTGCCACCGTCCAGACCTCATGTGAAAGAGGCACATGAAGAAGGGCTTCAGATGAGGAATACAAGAGTCTGGGTCGGTTTATATGGGGAGAGGCGGTCCTTGAGCCATTGAAGGCTTTATAAGTCAAAACCAGCACTTTGAATTGGGCCTGGGAGCTAATTGGCAGCCAGTGCAGTCAGGCCAGAATCTTCTCATGCTCTCATGTTTTCATTGTGTTCACCGCTATATACATGGAAATGTGCAATGTTGTTGCTACTATTAAAATGAGGCTGCATTTTAAATTGTATTTTAACCCGTATTTTAATAAACTGGTTCCCCCCCCCCCATTATGTTTTATTGTAATTTTATTGGTGTGTTTTTTAAATAAATATTTTTATTAGATTTTCCATTAAAAAAAACATTTTTACAAAAATTATACATCCATTTTTAACTTAAACCCTTTTTTCCAGAACTTCCCTCAGCTTGTCGGATAATTTTCCGTCTATTTTTTATCCTTGTCTCACATTTCCCAATATTATATTGCACTCAAATACTCTTAATCACATCATATTTTTTAAACAATATTTCTAACAGTAGTTTCACAGAGCTTCTTGAAAGCCAACGAACGTTATTTGCTCATCACAGAAATTTTTGATATACTCTGTAAATTTCTTCCAGTTCTCGGAGAATCTCTGGTCACGTTGGTTCCTAATTCTCCCCGTCAATCTGTCCATTTCTGCATATTCCATCAGTTTCATCCTCCACTCTTCTTTCGTGGGCATCTCTTCCTGTTTCCATTTCTGTGCCAGCAAAATTCTGGCTGCTGTAATTTTATTGGTGTTAGCTGCCCTGAGCCCAGCTCTGGCCGGGGAGGGCAGGGTATAAATAAAATTATAATTATTATTATTATTATTATTATTATTATTATTATTATTATTATTAACATTTCACGGTTCTCCAGGGTTTGGGGTAGGAGATGCTCCCAGCCTTACCTGGAGATGCCAAGAATCGAACCCAGTGCCTTTTGCATGCAAAGGTGCTCTACTACTGAGCTCTGGGCCTGCCCTCTACGGATCTCTTCTTCCAATGGAACTGTTTAAAAAAATTATTATTATTATTATTATTATTATTATTATTATTATTATTATTATTATTTTCTACCCCACCCATCTGGCTGGGTTTCCCCAGCCACTCTGGGTGGCTATTAAAAATATTAATATTTATAAAAGAGTATACACTGTAGTAAAATCCCATTAGTGGCCAATACCAATGATGTCACTGAGTCTGCCTCCTTGAGATTATTGGAAAGGCACTAATCGGCTTCTTATTTTGTCCAGCGACCACATCAGAAGGGGCACGTCGATACATGCTGCTCGATAAACAATTGCACTGGAAGCCTTTTAATTCTCTTAAGCGGCATTGCCGCCTAGGAGAGACGGACAGGACAGGTCATGCTCACCACGTCATGTGATGAGAGCACAGCAGAGGAATCAGCTTCAAGCAGGAAGTTGCTTGCATCCGAGTGGCAATGGTGCTTTAGAGAGGTACCACTGAATTTAGAGCTGAGGGGGTGGCCCAAGAGATCGATCGATCGCATCCTGTGCTTGCAGCTAGGCTGGGACAACACATAGAACCGTGGGCTGCCGGCAACTTAGCAGATTGCAAGTCACACCTGGCCACATTAGCAGAAAGGACAGAGTCGTAAGGCCAAACAAGAGGTCTACAGAAAGAGAGACTTATAACGGGCAGGTCTATCAACATCTATTTGCTGTCCAGATGCTTTTTGCATACATGGAGATTGAACATCTAGAGTGGGCAATCACCTCACACCCTCCTTTTGAACCATAGCTGTCAAGCGTTCCTTATTTGGCGGACAGTCCCTTATCCCAGCGCCATGTCCCACTGCTGTCCCTTATTGATGATGTCCCTTAAAAAAGCTACTGAAGGTAATGGGGCCCTTTCTATGTCCGGCTGTCCTTTGTCAACAAATTGTTGCTGTTTTTTGTGTTGAATATATGCTATATGATAATTAATGGACCTAATAGGTATCTAAAGCCATTTGCACGCAACAAAATATGTATTTTATCAAAGTAATTGTTGATCCCTTATTTTGGCTGCTGGTCCCTTATTTTTGAGGCTGCTGGTCCCTTATTTTCAAATCTGTAAGTTGACAGCTATGTTTTGAACCTTCAGAGAAATCAGGAGGGCTGAGACTGTTCTGAACTATCCAGCGAGATAATATCTTCCAACATTGGTTCCTTCCCCAGTATAGAAAGCTACTTTGACTGCTATGCAAAAAGGACCTCAGTTGCCCTGTGTTTTTAGCACACTTTTAGCAAAACATACCATGATTCCTTGTTCTAGGCTGGTGCTACCCTCTAGTGTTCATGAGAGTGATAGCAGCCTTTCTTCCACAGCTGTAGCTTAAATCTGCCTTCTAATAACTACGGCCTTTGAAAATCCAAATCCATTTTGGGCATTGGTTATGGGCACTGACAAGGAGGTGGAGTCTGAAATCAGGGAAACCCAATGCAACCCTAAAACCATGATACATCAAATGCCCGTTGTTATAGCAAAAGATATCAGGCCAAATTTGTGCACACAGCACTAAACCACGGTTTAGCGTGAAGTGACAAGTTGTGACACAGTCCTGGCATGATTAGAAGCTTCCACTTATGTTTTAGATTAACCACAGTTTAGTGTTACGGCCAAATCCTAATCTTCAACCTGCTTTGCAGAAACAAAGCCAGCTTCTCAAGCAATGGTCAGTAATTGGCTCAGTTCAACAAAACAATCGGCGGGGAACATTTTTCAGCCAGAAGATGGCATTGCTTTCTGGGTACCCTTTCTGAGACCCACATGCTACTGGTGAATGGGACCACAGGCAAAATTATTATCAGTGTTCAAGGACAAATTCCAATCAGGCAAAAACACCTGGGATAAGAGAGGTGTGTGGCCTGGGCAGAGTTCCAAGGGTCAGAAAGAGAGATTCAGATGTCCACATTCAGCCCCCAGGCATGAAGTTCCCGGTCCTGGCTTGTAGGAGCATGAACTGAGAAGCAATGCTGCAAACTCTGGTGGCTTGGGCACCTGCACAGGCTGTGCTGAAGGTCTCCAAGGCCAAATGAGACTCAGATGCTGCCCACATGTGCTCTAACGGGAGCGAGAGCATCTCCTGGTCTTCAAGCAAGACTGGACAGCCATGGACTTCCTGAATCAAGGTAAGGGATGGTCTCAGCAGGCTACAAGGTCTCCTCCAGCCCTGTTATTATGAGCTTCTGGTGTCCTTCGCCACACAAAGACATAATTAATGGGCTGCCTTTGCCACAAGGTCACACGCCTGGATGCCTTTAATAGAGGAATTGGACAAGTTTGTGGTAGAGGATAAGCCTATCAAAAGCTATTGGGAGCTTTTAATATTGTTGTATAAGCACTTTAAAGAAGTTTATTGAATTTTCTCCTCTTTGTTATCTGGTGTTAACAGATTTATTTTTTAGCCATTTTGTATTTTATGTGGTTGAGCTACAATAGATGACACCAACATTAATAATGATGATGATGCTTTCAGAGATCATTTTTGTATAAAGTGATGAATGAGAAGTCAATAACAATGCAGGGAGGGAAGGAGATCTGCTCATGGGTCTCTCAAAATCCTGTATAGGGTTGTTGTTTTTTGTTTGTTTTTGCTGTGATTTGGAGTCAATTTAAAGATGACCGAAATGAAATGTGGATTCTTCCATCCTTGCCATTAATTTGATTCTGAACTGATTTTAGAATGTATTTCAATTAATTTGACTGTGATTTTATGTAAATTGTGCTATTTTTACTGTTGTTAGCCGCTCTGAGCCGGGCTTTGGCTGGGGATGGTGGAATATAATAAATAATAATAATAATAATAAATATATAATATATAATATATAATATAATATATAATATATAATATATAATATATAATATATAATATATAATATATAATATAATTATTTATTATTTATATTATTATTATTATTATTATTATTATTATTATTATTATTATTATTACTGCAAGCCCTCTAGCCAAGAGCAAACAAATGTTCCTTCTACCTCTTGCTACCAAGTTTGGACTACTGATGGCCACCATTTTGCAAAATGTCTCACACATGGAATACTCAACAGAACCTCTCCTCCAATCCCAACCACAGCTATTGTGTGCAACAGCCAAACCCTAACAATTCAATCTACAGCGATGAAATGCCAGCTTTACTTTTTGAGAAGACTCCCTGGAAAAGACCCTGATGTTAGGAAAGATTGAGGGCATGAGGAGAAGGGGACGACAGAGGACAAGATGTTTGGACAGTGTTCTCGAAGCTACAAACATGAGTCTGACCAAACTGTGGGAGGCTGTGGAAGACAGGAGTGCCTGGCGTGTTCTGGGTCACAAAGAGTCGGACACAACTAAATGACTAAACAACAAATCCGACTCCTTCCGGAGCAATTGGTGGCATAAAGTCTCGTTGGCAGAATTCCAGCACTGGTATATTTTATGCTCAAGTCTATTCATTTATTGAAAACTCCCAAGTGACACAAAGTTGCATATCAAAATAAACAAATTTATCCAAAACAAAGAGGTATTCTTGCAATAAGGCAAATTGGCAAAAGGGTTCCTTTAAACAGAGACATTCAAAGTTATTCTCATGCTGAGCATTCTTTAGAAAAATAACTGGTCGGCCAACCTTTAGGGCCTTTTGCAACATGCTTAGAGGTCATCGTGAGGAGCAGCAACCTAATCTGTACTGCTCCCCCTCCCACAGCAAAGAAAACCATAATGACATATGTGTCAAGTATCACACACAAGTGGACCCATTTCCTTTGTTTAACATATTCTTTGAGAAAAAGAAACAGGCGAAGGCACAAGTGTGGCAGATCTGCCTAGATGCTGAAAGAGCAAAAAGGGATTACGTGGACAGTTTCGGTGCCCATTCGGACCAGAGTCCACATTTCAAGTAAAGGAACAAAGAGTCTCCTTTGTTAACCCCTTCATCATAGCAAGACACACTTCTTCTTTGCATAGCACAAATGGTGTGGCACTACAGCTTTCAGCTGAAGTCGCGATCTGGAAGCACAATGGGGGCTACCAAAGTCCAGACGTACAGGAGAAGCCCAGCCCAGCTGGAAGAAATCTTCACCCAGACCGCAGTCCAAGGGCTGGTCAGCACGTGGTTGTTTGCTTCAGGCCTGAGGAAAGAACACAAGATACAAATCAAGTCTCTGCATTAAGATAAAATTGAAAAATATTGCACCCCGCATCAGCCTTGCCATCACTTGCCAACGATGTCCCATCTCAAGTGCAGATATACATCATGGGTTTCCCTGCCCTCCCAGTAACTGGGTCCTCACAACAACCCTGTGAGGTAGGCTAGTCAAAGAGAATGAGTGACCCATTGTCATGAAGTGGGGGATTGGAACCCTGGGTTTTCTCGCTGGCTCTCCAAGAGGTATCTACACAGTTTCCGCTTCCAAATGTTCAGGCACACATTGCAACTGAAAGCGCTCAGAAGAGCAACGTGTCGGCAGTTCCTTGGACACAGCCCTCAGCTCCCCAGCTGCATGTTCCCAAAAGGTCTCTGTTTCTCGGTCTCTCACACACCAACTTGAAGAAAAGCAAACACTTTTGCTGGTGAGGAAGAAGGTTTGTGTGCACAGGCTTCACCAATGGCCATGACGCTTTCTCCAGTTTGCAAACGTGAGCACGGGCTCCAAAACACTGGCAACCCCTGACTTCTACACACTTGGGACAGTGAGCGATGTGGCCTTCAGCAGGCTGTACATCCTGTCCCCCTCCTCCTGAACAAAGCCGGTCGTGGATAGCTCAGATCATTCCTGTATTCTTCCTGTGCATGGTTGAACATTTTTTTAAAAGAAAAAATTAAGGCAGCATCTGTGCACAGCTGGACTGTAGCTGCTATCTAGATAGGGAGCTGATGCAATACTGTTTACAAGTCCCCCAAATGCAAAGAACACAACAGCAGCTTTGCAGAAAGCCCAGATCCATCAGACAACTCCTAACGCCGAACTCTACCGTTGACCTATTTAAAAAGGGATATAAAAACCAAATTGCTCTTTATCTTCCGGACAACTTTTGCCTCCTCTGCCTCCGGGAACATTGCATAGTAGGCCCTTAAGATGACAATTAGTTTAGGTCTTTAGAATTAATGTACCGGTAAATACAGAAGACAAGCCTGCTGGATCAGGCCAATGGCCCATCTAGTCCGGCATCCTGTTCCCACAGTGGCTGCCCATGGGAAACCTGCAAGCAGGACGAGAGCTGTGGTTCCCAGAAACTAGGATTCAGAAATATGACTGCCTCTAAACATGGATACAAAGCGTAATAGCGATTGATAGCTTTCTCCTCCATGAATCTGCCCAGCCCTCATTTTAAAGCCATCTGAGTTGGTGGCCAACACAGCCTCCTGTGGGAGTTCCACAGTTTAAGTGTGTGAAGATGTACTTTCTTCTGCTGCCCTCGCTGGTCCTGAAAGAAGCCTTTAAAAAGTCCCATATGCTCAGAGACTTTGCGCCTGTTCATTGGGGGATATAGGAAGCCCAGAACACTTGTTCTTTAGATGTCCCTTTTGTGAAGAGGCATGTAGTAAGACCATTGATGGTGAGGCTTGCTGACCTCCCGGAGAAGCAAAAATTCAACCTTTTCCTGTTAGGCAAAGATCATAAGACAACCCGGATGGTCGCCAGATTCTGTGTACAGATCTGTAGGTGCAGACCATCCCCCGACTCAAACTAGTTCGTTAAGAAAATCCCCAAACTTGGTTCCATGGGTGACTTGGGGTCATCTCTCTGCGGTAGCTTATCTTAAAGTTTTAATGTCTATACGCTTATCACATTTATAAATTTTAAATTTATTGTTGTATATTGTTTTAATTGTTTGTTTTCGTTCTGGGACTGTACCCCCAAGTCTGTTTTATAAACAGGTCTCTGACCATAATAAATTATCTATCATCTATCTATCTATCTATCTATCTATCTATCTATTTACTTTCTTCTGCCTTTTATCCATTAGAGGAGAGCCAGGAGCCCCTTCTTTCCTCCACGAAGCACTTGTGGCAAGCTGTGTCTTCGTGCTTTGCTTGCTGCCTCATGGCTGCAGTTGCTTCCTACGCCTGTCCTTGCAAATGATCCTAGAAAAAACCCTCTCGAGTCAGTTTTCATTCAGAAACCGAGCACTGGAGAGGGTGGAAGGAGGGGGGTTTCGGGAGAGACGTCTGCTGTCACAGACCGGCTTCCACCGTGCCGCCAATCTCACTGAGACAACAAAACGTTCAGAGCGAAGGCACTGCAGAACACACTGGCAGGAGTACAGGTCACGCCTGGTGCGATGGCAGTGAGTCATGGGCTATAAATAGTCAGGTGCTCACAGCTGGGGATGGGAGGGGCGCCAGGTATGTATGGGTGTACAGTCAAGCAAGGCAGAGTTTGAAAACTCCAAGCAGGGATTCTGCGGGGGGGGGGGGTGTTTCACAATGGCCTCTCCCTGGAGCACATGCATAGGCAACTCTTCCCATCTGCTCCTCTAGACTTCATGGGGGTCACTCTCTCCTTCCTCCTCACCAAAAAAAAAAAAGTGCTTGATCTTGGAGAACTGATGCTCCATCCTTGTTACCTAGGCAACAGCAGTGGGCAAAGTAGAATACTAGAACTCTCAGAAGAAGAGCAGACCAATTTCTATATACCCCATAAATCCAGGAAATTCTATCTGTTCCACCTGTGTGTGTGTTCATTTCTCTCTCTCTCTCTCTCTCTTTTACTTTAGGGATGCCCTGCTGAAATTTTGCTTCTTAATTAGATAGGCCTTTGGCAGCTGGGTGGAAATGATGTTGACCCCCAGGCTGCTATGGGGGCAACTGGTATTTTAATGTGTTTCCTTGCAATTTAACTATTCTGAAAACTAGCCTGTTTTCCTTCCTTTGCATTTTATAATCATATTTTTAAAATGTTGCAAGCTTGCCTTGAATCCCAACTTGGGAGAAAGGTAGGCTATAAATAGGTGAAATGAGATAATAAAATAAAAACTATGCCAGCAAAATGTGCACACGCTGGCAAAACCCAGCCAGCCACATCCTGCATTTCCAAAGGGTCTTCAAAATGCAGACTCACCTTCAGCGCATCTGAGTAATCTCAACCGGGAAGGAACCAGACCAGAGAATTAACATGGAAGGGTCATTTGGAAGCATTCTAGGCCATCTCTTCCTCAATGTAAGATCTACAATGCAGATATTGCAACTGAGGCATCCCTGACATGATGGCCATCCAGCCTCTGCTTAAGGACCTCCAGCAAAGGAGAGCCCGCCAGTCTGCTCTCTGTTTCTCATTTTCTGGGGCTGTGCAACCAATCCAGGAGAAACCCAGATACTGGAATGAATCAGTTTCAGCCAGATCAGGTGGAAAAAGCTCTGGGTTGTCCTGGGTTGCCCTGGTTTAAAACCCTAATAAAACCTTGGGGTTGGTTCAACATCGATTTGGTGCCCAGATCAAGGTTTGGTCAACCCCCAAATTAGAACAGTTCTGAAGTGCCATATTGGGCCTGGATTAGAGGTGGACATGCACGCCTCTGCTATTTTATTATTTATTATATTTTTTATCAAATTTATACACTGATTGATTGAAAAAACAACAAACCTCGAAGCGGTTTAGCTAAAAGATAACACAATAAAATTATAAATAAGAAGAACTGACAACTATCATGCTAAGACGTTGAAAAAATTAAAAGCGAAAACAAATTAAAATTCACGTCAACTTTCTAAGCACCTGAGTAGGCTTGTTTAAACAAAAGCGCTTTTAGCAGGTGTTAAAAAGAGTACAGTGAAGGCATCAGCCCGATATCAACAGGCAGGGAGTTCCAAAGTGCCACACTAAACAATGTGCCATGCTATTTTCTTTCAGCGTTTCCCCAAAGTCTGCTTTCCTGTAGATTTCCACCCACCAGGCACTGCTCCTGCCCTTGGGAGCAAACAGAGAATAATTCTGTTCCATCCTCCTGCAGGGAGCGACAGTTGCACTCACCTGTACCAGTTTGTGAGCGTCATCATGATGTAGAGGGAGGCCAGGAAGAGGCAGATGTGGAAAAAAGTGTAGTTGTACGTCACTCCATCCTCTTCGTTGTCATAAGCCCGGCGCCCCTCGCCTTCAAAGCCAGCATTGCCCCCTTCGATCATAGCTGGGCTCTCCTCCGTCAGCATCATCCTGTTCACTTCGACGTGGTCCGAGGAGCGGATGCTTTGGCAAAGCAAGGAGAAGAACATCAGTTGCATGCCCCTTCGTCCCTCGTTTTCGGTGCTGCTTTGAGTGCATATGCATACACCACTATGTGCCTGAATATATATATATATATATCTATGCTTTCGTAGATTTTCACGGGTACAGGAATGCAGGTTTTGGTGTCCTCGGGTGTCTTCCCGTGTAAAAGTTGGGGTGTCTAGGCAACTTTTACACGGGAAGACACCCGAGGACACCAAAACCTGCATTCCTGTACCCGTGAAAATCTACGAAAGCAAATATCTCACCTCTACGGGGAGGAAACCTTCCAGCTGACAAGAACCTACGAGAAACTAGAAATCCGAAGAGCCACCATCTTATGTGATCTCTTGTTCCTACGCAACTGCCGAGACAACAACTTAATTCCCACATGCTTCCAACTTAAATTCCACTCTAAAACCCCAGCTACCGAAAGGATCCTGAAACGAACTGAACTATCCCTAATCAGAAACGAACTACATAAGAAAAGATACCTACTAAACCAAACCAACAAAGATCTGCTCACTCTTCACCTCAAACTCGGTAACAAAATCCACCCTGCACTCTGGGACAAATGCAAACAACTAGCCGTCTGGAGAGCTGAAACTGAGACCTCACATAAGACAGACACACACACCAACAAACTCCACAAATTAGAGAAACGCCAGAAGCCCAGCCACCCTCCACAACAACCCATGAAACAAACAGTACATAACATATCAGACAGGATCCTCACCTCAACTGAAACCAAAGTACTCTCCAAAGGTTTCAACTTTGCAGTCGCCCCGAGACGCATCCCCACGGAAAACATCATATGCGGAGTCGAAGCTAGCCTAACCAAAATCAACCCAGATGAAGCCAATAAAATCAGACTTGAAGTCACCAACATCCTCTGCTCCAGCAAACCACCCAGAAGCAATTTACACAAAGAAGAACAGAAAGCACTCACCAACCTGAGGAAAGACAACAACATAATCATTCTCCCAGCAGACAAAGGTAATGCCACTGTTGTGATGAACACATCGGACTACCAAGCAAAACTATCAAATCTACTCCAAGACCCTACCTACCAACCTATAAAAACAGATCCCACCACCTATCTGGAAAAAACCACCAAATCCAAAATAAAAGCCTCTCCTATCAGTGAAGAAATCCAGCTAAGAATCATCCCCAGAGAAAAATCATCCAGATGCCCCAAACTCTACGGCCTCCCCAAGATACACAAAGAAGGAACACCACTCAGACCAATAGTCAGCTCCATAGGCTCACCTCTACAAAATCTCGCTAAATTTCTCGCTAAGCAACTTCAGCCCTATGCAGAATCCATCCCTTCACACGTTACAAACTCCTTCCAGTTCATAGAAACAATAAAGAAGCAAAACCTACATCCCAATGACCTACTTGTGAGCTTCGATGTTGTATCTCTCTTCACACAAGTGCCCATTAATGAAGCCTTGACAGCCATTCAAAACAAATACAATCCCCCCGAATACATCCTGGACCTTACCAACCACTGCCTAACCAACACGTACTTCATCCACAATGGACAAAGATACAAACAGATAGAAGGAGCACCTATGGGATCACCACTCTCACCGGTCATCGCAAACCTGTACATGGAACACTTTGAAACCAATGCTTTAGACAAGTCAGAACACAAACCCAAACTTTGGCTCAGATATGTTGACGACACCTTTGTAATTTGGCCACACGGGAAGGAAAAACTAGATAGCTTCCTCACACATCTCAACAGCCTACACCCCAAAATACAATTCACTATGGAAATAGAAGCCAACAACCAACTTCCCTTCCTTGACGTCCTAATCTACAAAAAACCTGATGGCTCCCTAGGACACACTATCTACCGGAAAAAAACACACACCAACCGCTACTTACATGCACAATCACACCACCACCCTGCACAAATAAACTCCGTAGCCAAGACTCTCATCTCCAGAACCAAACGCCTGGCTGACAAAGACCACTTGACAACTGAGTTACAGAATCTCTCCAATGTGTTAATCGCCAATGGATACCAGCAAAACAGGGTTACGAAGCTAATGCAAAAAGAAACACCCCCCAAAAACCAAGACACAGAAGAAAACAATGGCATGGCCCTCCTTCCTTATATCAAGGGCACTACAGATAAAATTAGCAAAATCCTCCATAAACACAATATCAAAACAGCCTTTTGCACCAACCAAAAAATAGCCAATATCCTCAGAAACCCCAAGGATAAAATCCAGTTGGAAAACCAAGGGGTCTATGAAATACCCTGCAAAGTCTGCCCAGCCACGTACATTGGACAAACAAACAGACGAATAAATGCACGTATCGCAGAACACAAGAATGCCGTCAAAAAAGAAGAAAAAACTTCCTCTCTTTTCCAACACATGAAAGAAACAGGACACGAAATTAATTTTGCAGATTCCAAATTGCTCTCTAACATGGAACATCACCACAAGAGAATAATCATGGAAGCCATCGAGATAGAGAAACACCCTCACAACATGAACAAGCGTGACGACACATCCCGCCTGCCAGACATCTGGAAATTAGCCCTCCCCACAAAAACCGACACCAGATCCAGAGGCACACAGAACGCCATCACCAATCAACCACACCAGACCCAAACCCAGACCCTCTCCACAGATAAATTACAGACACCATCCAGTAGCCAAACCATGGTGGCACCTCCGGATGCTGCACCCCCCTGCAATCCCTACACAGATCTGGCTGGCACAGGACACAAAACCACAGCTCGCCCCTATACACGAAGCCAAGCCAGAGCACAACTAAATGCAATACAGCCATCTTCTCAGAAAAACTCTTCACAAAGTTCAAGAGGTCAAGACACGAAGGCTTTAGCAACTAATCCACACCTAATGACCCACCTAAGTGGTACTCAGGATATCACTCAAGAAATCACTCAAGATATCCCTCAAGTAATTAAGGAACAAAAGAAGAAAAGGCACACTAGCCTGGGAACTTCCTCTCTGCCCAGAACATTGGAGGCTATACACCACACCCCCTCAACAGTATTTATAGGAACTCAAACACTGAGATCCTGCTCTGTTCCAGTAACAAGAAGCCGAAAGCACCAGCCTGAAGATGACGAGTGAGACCTCGTCGAAACGTCGCCTAGACACCCCAACTTTTACACGGGAAGACACCCGAGGACACCAAAACCTGCATATATATCTATATATATATGGACGCTTGGGTTGTGAACATGATCTGTGCGGGATGCACATTCGCAACCCGCAGTGGCCACAACCCACAGCGGTGCATCTGCGCATGTGCGGGTTGCAATTCGGTGCTTTTGCGCATGCGCAAAGCACGATTTACCACTTCTGTGCATGTGCAACTGCTGAAAGCTGGAAGTAACCCATTCCGGTACTTCCGGGTTTCGGTGGGTTTGTAACCCAAAAAAACACAAGCTGGAGCGTCTGTAACCCGAGGTATGACTGTATAATGTTATGTTTATAGACAGCTATGCACACAGCTTTTCTTTAGTTAACAGGGGGAGGGATTTACTACTCGTTGCCAGCAGAGGGAGACTGGAAGCTAACATAAGCTCAATGTACCTTGAGTCTATCATGCGCGAGATCAGCAAGCAACCAGTTCTGAGTGCTATCCTTTAGGCAGAATATACATAAAGAAGAATAGGCTCAGACAGGCTGATGTGCAAGGTCTGGAGGGTTCAGAAGCCTGGGACTCATAGAAATAAGGATGTGGGTTGAGGCTATGCTTGTCAAACACAGAGGCTCGTTCTAGAGTACTTTCCTCACTCACAGCTATATAGAGTGGTCTTCCTTCTGCAATTCTTTGTAAGCCCTGGGGTGGAGTAGTCTATGTTTAAACCACAGCAGCTTAGAATCCTGTTCTTGGTCAAGGAATGGCTCTGCCACAGACATTACAGATGCCTCTATCTAGCTGTCTACTGTGGGGTAGCAAATAAAGTGATTGGCAGAAATTCTTACTCTTTTTCTCCACTTATGTTCTACAGTGGTACCTTGGTTCTCAAATGCCTTGGTTCCCAAACACCAGAAACCCGGAAGTAAGTGTTCCAGTTTTCAGATGTTTTGCAGAAGCTGAATGCCCAATGCGGCTGTCGGCTGTTATTTCAGGGGCACCTGCACCAATCAGAAGCTGCGCCTTGGTTTTCGAACATTTTGGAAGTCAAACGGACTTCCAGAACGAATTAAGTATGGCGCTTTCTATTTATTTTGCGTTTTTGTTTTTGAGGCTTTTTGGTAATTTTGTTTTTGTGACTGTGTGGAACCCAATTCAGCTACTGATGGATTGATTGTGTGACTGCGGAAATGGATAAAAGCCCCCCATCCAAACAATGACTATCATCAGTGCAGGTAAGAAAATAAATTAATTTTAATTTTTATCTGTCTTATTTATTTTATAGTACAGTACATTGATTATTGCTTTCACTTTATGGATCAATGGTCTCGTTAGAAAGTAAAATTCATGTTAAATTGCTGTTTTAGGGGTTGGTTTTAAAAGTCTGGAATGGATTAATCCATTTTGCATTACTTTCTATGTGAAAGTTCTGCCTTGGTTTTGGAACGCTCCAGTTTTAGAACGGAATTCCGGAACGGATTAAGTTTGAGAACCAAGGTACCATTTTGCTCATGTATTAAGATGCCTCATATTAAAATCAGTCCTTTGAACCATCTAACTCTCTATTCTCCATACCAGGGGCCTATGGCAGAGCAGAAGAACCTTAGGCCCCCGGGCAGAACGTGGCCTTCAAGACACCTAATAAGTTAGATGAGTTTGGTTTCTAAATGAATATGGATTCCTACCTTATGAAGAATGTGCAGAGGATGAAGATGACCAATCCCACAATGCTCGGAGCATCCCACCACTGAGTTGGTTGTCCACCAGCAGGAAGGGTGCTGGTGCCATTGCCTTCCATTCGGATCAGAAGGGTCGGGTTGCAGTATTTGTCTGCAAATGAAAAACAGATAAACATCTCAAACAGGTGTGGGGAACCTTGAGCTTTGCAGACGTTGCTGAACAGCAGATCGACTTCCTTCCAGACACCTTGCACACAGGAAAAGCACACTCAGAACTTCTCACCCCCCTGAAAATAAATCACATATCCTTTCTGGGGAAGTATTCTGTGCTGTCCGGTCTGCAGATATGAGACTTCTCATCAAACCAAGAACCTGAGAAGACAGATTCTGTGGGCTGCAGTAGAAACAAGGCAATGCCCGCCTCTCCAAAATGTCAATAGAAACAACAGGTTGAGCTACAACAAGAGGGCATGTCTTTCAAGCCAAGATAAATATGTCTCCGGGAAAAAGAGGGAAATCCTAAGTTTGAACAGGGAGGGGTAAACGATAGAAATGTCATCATGACATGGAGACAAACTGGCATCAGTTCCATAAAATGAACACAGTGACTGAGATCCAACTTGGAATCGTCTCTGGGGTTTTTTCCTCATGATACTGGGTTGAAGTCTGTCTCATTGCTTTTGCCAAAGCCTCCTTTTAAGGAGGGGAAAGGGGGATACTGGTCCCAGACTTGCAGACACAGTCATCCGATTTCTGCACATGGGGTGAAAACAGCAAGGGAACAAGCATGTAAGTGGACACTTCCCCAAGAATAGTGCCACAACAGTTAACTCAGTCAATGTGGTTTTATTTAGAAAACTTAGACCAGGGAGGATAGGGGTATACTAATTGAGGGGTACAGAGTACAAATACATCCTTTCAAGCACCAGCCACTGGTGTGGAATGTAAACACTGGGATACAGTTCAACTGAAAGTACAGTGGTACCTTGGTTTGCATACATTTTGGATTACAAACATGTCAAACCCGGAAGTGCGTGTCCTGGTTTGCAACCTTTTTTTGGATTACAACCCATTTTTTTGGATTACGAACAAATTTTTTTTGGAGGCCCCATTGGCGAAAGCGCGCCTTGGGTTACGACCTGTTTTGGTTTACAAACAGGCCTCCGGAACGGATTATGGTTGTAAACCAAGGTACCACTGTACTCATATCAGCACATAAGAACAACAACAACAAACCTATGGTTACGTGAAACATACTCAACAAACACACAAGACGTAACCGGCTGTACTTTTGAATAAATAAGGTATACTATTCATTGTATCAAATTGTAGATTTCAACGGAAGTCTCATAAAGTTCAACGAAAAAGGCAGAAGACCCAGTGGATCAGTTCATTCTCTAGTCAGTTCACACATAAGGTCCATACATGGATGTCAGGGAACTGACATCGGAGCTAGGGGCGAAGAGAAGGCTCTCAGATGATGCTGGAGAAGGGCCCAGCAGGGAGAGAGGCAGCTCAGTAGAGGGGGAAGCAAATCAGCGCAACACCAGGGATAAAGGGGGGCAGATGGGGGAATCGGCAAGAGGGCTCCAGGACTCTTCACTGGACATCAGCGGAGAGAGCACAGGTCCTCCGCTACCCATGCCCTCCCTGCGCAAAAGACTTCCGCGCAGTGAGAGTAGGAGGAGACTGGGCGTCAAACAACTTTTATGTTGGAAGAGGTTTAAGAAACGCCCACTGACGGATTCTGCTAGCGACTGAGGCAGCCACGGAGAGAAGGGCTGTCCGGTCAGAAAGGTTTAACAAGGCAATTTAGCCTGGAGAGGCGGCAGCTTACGCATGAGCAACCCCATACGCATTACAATGTATAAGTATCTATTCCACCTGTCTGTTCTTAGAGTCCAATAATCCACATGAAGGGTTGTTACAGTTCCACAGAATCCTTTCACAGAGTCTAAGACAAGGATTTCCGGAATATTAGCCTTGTTTCGCCATCCTAGGAAATCCTTGTCTTAGACTGTGTGAAAGGATTCAGTGGAACTTCCGTTGAAGTCTACAATTTGATACAATGAATAGTATACCTTATTTAGTCAAAAGTGCAGCCAGTTACGTCTTGTGTGTTTACTGAGCACATGAGAAGAGCCTGCTGGGTCAGGCCAGCCAGCATCCTGTTCTCATACTGGGCAGCCAGATACCCTAATGGGAAACGTGCATGCGGGATCTGACCACAAGAGCACTCTCCTCTCCTGTGGTTTCCAGAAAGTAGTATTCAGAAGCATGGCTGCCTCTGACCGTGGAGGCAGAGCATAGCCATCATGGCTAGTAGCCATCTGTAGCCCTCTCCTGCATGAATTTGTCCAATCATCTCTTAAAGCCATCTCAGGTGGTGACTACCACCACCTCCTGCAGGAGCGAGTTCCATAGTTTAACGATGCACTGCATGAAGAAGTAAGCGCAAGTTTGCACACAAATATGCACGGAAGTGCACACAGGAAAATCAGATCTGTGTTACCCAAATGTACGTTTACGGTGGTGTGTACACAACCGCAGGCATGCTTAAAGATCAGGCTGAAAAGGAAAGAGCCTTTTCAGTGGTGGCTCCTTAATTGGAGAATGTGCCTTGAACTTAGTTCAATTAGTCTTAGGGTTTAAAAAAAAACAACGTCCAAGCCTTCCACTGAATTTAGAACTGTCTTCTTATAGTGGCTTTCCCTATTTGGTGTTTTCCTTACATTATTGGACTACAACTTCCATCAGCCCTGATCAAAATATCCAGTGGTGATGGGAATTGTAGTCCAGCAAGAGCAGGTTGGCAAAGGCTCTTATATGGCATTTTCACTTTTCTCTGTGAACTCTGTTTTACTATGGTTTTAATTTGCTTGTAAACCCTTTTGGATCTTTTCCTCCCAATGGTTTTTTCCTTAAAAAAACAAAAGCAAACAAAAACCAGGATACACAGAATTAAGAATAAAAGTAAAGGAAATAGTTCATGGTTGGAAAAGTGCTACTTACTTGGGACATTTGCCAAGGCCGACCAGGTGATGAACATAGTATAGAGTGTAATGATGGAGGCTTGCAGCAGCCCGGAGTGAGGCTGGGCATCCTGTAGAGGAAGAGGAACAGCACCTGTTTAAAGTACCGAAAATATTTGGTGCAAAAATCAGGGCTGAACGGGGCACGATGTTAAATGCTTCTTTGCATTCAACACACAGGGGAGCTGCTGTGGTCTTTAAAATAAAACTGCATCAGCTAGGGCTTTTAAAAATATAAAGAGAAAAACATAATTTTATTCTTTCCTCCCCTAGCACCCAAGTGTGTGTGTGTATTTTAAATACTAGCTTTTTGGGCAGGGTGGATCAGAGCCTCAGGACTTCAGTAGGGGAAGAAAAGGTTAAATTCCCTGTCCATGACTGTTCTGATATTTTTAATTAGCAGTATGTGCACACCCCAGTTGATACACACTCACTGTGTGTGTGTGTGTGTGTGTGTGTTTGTTTCAAATGCAGAGACACATCTCAAGTCATGTCTACTTAGGCCAGACATCCCCAAACTTGACCCTTCAAATGTTTTGGGACTACAACACCCATCATCCCTAGCTAACAGGACCAATGGTCAGGGATGATGGGAATTGTAGTCCCAAAACAGCTGGAGGGCCGAGTTTGGGGATGCCTGACTTAGGCCCTCAAGACATCAATTTTATATATATATATATATATATATTAAAAAGCTGGGGTTGTCTTATAAACTTTTTAGTTTTTCACTGCATTGTGTTGCATCTTTCTGATACACAAGCCACCTAGTGTGAGCTTTGCTCCAAAGGTGGCCCAAGTTAATAGAATTAATGTCAGGAAATGTGGTGTCATGGTTAGAATGCCAGACCAGGACCTGGGAGAGCTCCACAAAGTTCATCAGTGAGTAGCCTTGGATTCTCAATACAGCATCTTACCTGGACCTTGGGCAGGATGGAAACCACGGACACAATCACACAGAAGATGAGGTTAAGGCTTATGAGTGCCTTGTTTTCTGTACAACCGTCTGCCTTCGTGTAATACACATAGAGCAGCACCACCGCAGCAATGGAGACAGCGTAGAAGAGGAACGTGAAGATGAAGAGGGCTGAAAAAAGAAAGCGGGGGAGATGTCGATACACAGCTTACCAGTAAACCAGGGGACAAGTGGACTTCCACCCACTGTTGCACTAGAACATGGGTAGGCAAACTAAGGCCCGGGGGCCGGATCCGGCCCAGTCGCCTTCTAAATCTGGCCCACAGACAGTCCGGGAATCAGCGTGTTTTTACATGAGTAGAATGCGTCCTTTTATTTAAAATGCATCTCTGAGTTATTTGTGGGGCCTGCCTGGTGTTTTTACATGAGTAGAATGTGTCCTTTTATTTAAAATGTATCTCTGGGTTATTTGTGGGGCATAGGAATTCATTCATTTCCCTTCCCCAAAAAATGTAGTCTGGCCCCCCACAAGGTCTGAGAGACAGTGGACTGGCCCCCTGCTGAAAAAGTTTGCTGACCCCTGGACTAAAACCTCCATCAGCTGCAGCTGCAGCATGGCTGATGGTCCGGAATAATGGGGAAGTTGTAGTACAACCACTTTTGGAAGGCCACAAATCCCACCCTCCACATTTGAATTTATTCATTCATTCATTTCCCACCCATCTGGCTGGGTTTCCCCAGCCACCCTGGGCTGCTCCTAACAGAATATTAAAAACAAAATAAAATAGCAAACATTAAAAACTTCCCTAAACAGAGTTGCCTTCAGATGTCTTCTAAAAGTCAGATAGTTGTTTATGTCCTTGATGTCTGATGGGAGGGCGTTCCACAGTGTGGGCACCACTACCGAGAAGGCCCTCTGCCTGGTTCCCTGTAACCTCACTTCTCACAGGGAGGGAACCGCTAGAAGGCTCTCGGCGCTGGACCTCAGTGTCCAGGCTGACCGATGGGGGTGGAGACGCTCCTTCAGGTATACTGGACCGAGGCCGTTTAGGGCTTTAAAGGTCAGCACCAATACTTTGAATTGTGCTCGGAAATGTATTGGGAGCAAATGTATGTCTTTCAGGACCAGTGTTATATGGTCTCGGTGGCCACTCCCAGCCATCAGTCCAGCTGCTGCATTCTGGATTAGTTGTAGTTTCCAGGTCACCTTCAAAAGTAGTCCCATGTGCAGTGCATTGCAGTAGTCCAAGCGGGAGATAACCAGAGCATGTACCACTCTGGCGAGACAGTTCGCGGGCAGGTAGGGTCTCAGTCTGATGGAGCTGGTACACAGCTGCCCTGGACACAGAATTGACCTGCGCCTCCATTATATTAATTCATGGTCTTCCAATAGTATTGGAGGAGTGAGAAGGATGGAGAAGCAAGCCATGTTCTCATCCCCATCATGTGTAGGGGAAGCATCTGGTAAGAGCCTCATCCAATCCTTTCATTTCCTAGAACTTTTCTCCATTGTGTCTGCTGTTTTTGCAAGTTCTCTTTGGGCCAATACTAATGGCACCATCAAGGCTACTCAGAATTAGGTCTAATGAGTTCAATGGGTGTTTCCAAGTAAGTGTGCATATGGACAGGTGTAGCAGTCATGCACAATCCTCCAGATTGCATTGGACTCCCAACTCCCATCAGCCTCAGTCAGGGTTGCCAACGATCAGTGATGGTAGGAGCTGCAGCCCAATGACGTTTTGAGGGCAACAGATTCCCCATCCCTGCAGTAAGAGGGATGCTTGCAAGATGCTCAGAGGAACCAGATTTTAAAACAAAACCATGCTGGTTCCTTGCCCTGATCCAAAGTCTCTCCCCACGCAATGGAAAGGAGTGGGAGCTTATCTGTTTGCATTGCTTTTTAATTTTAAAAAAGTGAGGGGAGGGATAACAAAATGAAGCAGGGTAAAACATGGCACTTACAATAGAAATCAGGATAGGATCTTGTTACACTCAACGTATTTGGGAGGGGTTCTTGGTGGGTCTGCTTATACCCTCGGTCCAGTATACCTGAAGGAGCGTCTCCACCCCCACCGTTCTGCCTGGACACCGAGGTCCAGTGCCAAGGGCCTTCTGGCAGTTCCCTCGCTGCGAGAAGCCAAGTTGCAGGGAACCAGGCAGAGGGCCTTCTCAGTAGTGGGACCTGCCCTGTGGAATGCCCTCCCACCAGATGTCAAAGAGAGAGAAAACTACCAGACTTTTAGAAGACACCTGAAGCCAGCCCTGTTTAGATAAGCTTTTAATGTTTAATAGACTATTGTATTTTAATATTCTGTTGCAAGCCGCCCAGAGTGGCTGGGGAAACCCAGCCAGATGGGCGGGGTATAAATAATAAATATATTATTATTATTATTATTATTATTATTATTATTATTACCCACTAGGTTTGATTATAACTAAAAGAAATTATTTGAAAGAGGAGGATCCACAGTGACTAATTAGAACCAATATACACAGTTTATACCCTGCACTGTTTGACATATATTTATGTTCTCAGAGTGGCGAAGAGAGCAGAAAAATACAGCACTAATAGAAAAATATAGCATACTAGGGGCTCCACCCCTGCATACTTCACTCAACAACCCTTGCCAGATTCACCCCTCCTCTCAGACCAAATCTCAGCTTGCCCACTCCCAGCTCCCTCCTCCTTGCCCTCCAACACTGCTGCAGTGGCCCAGGAGCTCTTGAGAACCCAGCCTGTTATCATGCTGTAGTTCACAGCACCATCTGTCAGTGTCTACACAAACTGCAGTATGATGACATCATTAGGAAAATATGAAATAGGAGAGACCCAACATATAATTTTTTTTACAGACGCGGGTGGCGCTATGGGTTAAACCACAGAGCCTAGGACTTGTCAATCAGAAGGTCGGTGGTTCGAATCCCTGCGATGGGGTCAGCTTCCATTGCTCAGTCCCTGCTCCTGCCCACCTAGCAGTTCGAAAGCACATCAAAGTGCAAGTAGATAAATAGGTACCGCTCCGGCGGGAAGGTAAACGGCATTTCCGTGTGCTGCTCTGGTTCGCCAGAAGCGGCTTAGTCATGCTGGCCACATGACCCGGAAGCTATACGCCGGCTCCCTCGGCCAATAAAGCGAGATGAGCACCGCAACCCCAGAGTCTGCCACGACTGAACCTAATGGTCAGGGGTCCCTTTACCTTTAACATATAAATTTAACACAAAGGGGTGGCGGTGGAGAACCCAGCAACAGTCTGTTCTTGGAGCCTTCAGTGGTGGTACTCGTGGGCACCACAATCTTCTCAGATGCTCCCCTCAATGCCCACCAAGGAACCCACTTGTCTGAACCCACACACAGAGCACATCAATTTTACACACATGTAAGTAAGTGTTCCATACTGACCTGCATACCAGCATTTTGAGTTGCCATTATCCGCATTGTGCAGCCAAATCTGACTCCAGGAATGTGCAAAGTCAATCAAGAGGATAAGCTGGATGAGGATGAAGAGGAAAGAGCCGACTACACCAAAGTAGAACCAAACTTATTTGAGAGAGGAAAAGTATAAAGCAGAGGTGGGGAGAGAAAGAAGGAAATATGGGTTATTGCTTATTATCCACAAGCTGCCGAAATGGAGTTTTAAACAGGTATCCTTTGGGGATGTAAAAATTATGTTAGCGTTTCCATACGTCCGTAATTTCCTGGACATAGCTGGGATTCCTATGTCAGAGGTGTAGATTTTGGTGGATTTCCTTATAAATAGCTCAAAACTGTGAGAACAAGGAGCTGGATGAAATGGGCCCTTGGTCACATCCAGCAGGGCTCTTATTGTGATCTTACAGCAGGTCTACAGAACCAGAAAAAGATGTTTTGTAATGGATAAAGCCTTGGTGAAGAACTAGGGGAAAGGCTGAGAAACCCATCTGTGCTGGGTCCCAGTCTCATCTGAGAGAGAGAGAGAGAGAGAGAGAGAGAGAGAGAGAGAGAGAGAACAAGATAGAACCTTGCCTAAGGCCAGAAGTGAGGTTCAAATCCTGAATTTCCTGATCCACGGCTTCTTAACTGATGTGGATGATCCACCCTAGAATCCCTCAAGCCCTTCTAGCAGCTATTATAAGAGTGCAATCACTCATGAAGAGGAAGCAAGGAATCAGTTCTTCCGCTGTTGTTCACTACTCAGAAGGAAATGGAGACTGTGAATACTCTTGCGTGCCAGCTGTGTGTCATTTGGGATCCAGCAAAGGACTCCTCCCAGTATCCACTATTAATCCTATTCAGAGTAGACCCATTAAAATCAAAGAGCTTGTTAGTTGCATCCATTTATTTTTATGTGTCTGCTCTGAGCCGAATAAATATTGAGTACAACCCACTGTCAGCAATAAGAGTATCGCTACCCCAGGTGGTTCGTGGAAGAAAACAATAATAATATTGCAGGACTCATTGCTGAAAGCTCAGAAGCTAAAGAGGATTAGAGAGAGTGCTTTAAAAAACCAAGAATGGAAAGCATCTGTTCCCTTCTATTCACACTGCTTCTAAAGACTCAGCAGGACTCACCTTTGACACAGCTCTGAGCAACTTGCACCAACCCCACCTTATGTAGAGCAGCACACACACAACCCCACCTTATGTAGAGCCAACCCCACCTTATGTATCCAACCCCACCTTATGTAGAGCAGCACACACACAAAAGCTACTGTACATCACAGCCCCTTTGCAAGTCAGGAATGCAAATGCAAGGTTTTGTTTACCAGATGTGAACGGTCCATCAGGAATATAGAAGGCCCCCACTGTTATTCCAATTAGTATCAGGAATTTGAAGAACCAAAACCTGGAATTGAGAAGAGGAGAAAAGACCTTTTTAAAACAAACAGAGGAGTCCTAGAAAGTCCTCTTAAGCAGCATTTGTTTTGCTCCAACATTATGCCAGGATGGAAACATCTGGAGCAAAGTGCAGCTGCTAGGACGTTAATGAGAGACAGAAGTTCTGGGTGTGCAACACAACTTTTCTGTCACTTGCATTAGTCAGCAGTTCACTTCCAAGCAGTGGGGTTCACCTTTAAAGCCCTTAGCAATTTGGGACTGGGTTACCTCAAGGACCAACCATACAACCCTGCCCTTAATCCAAGACCTGTGTCTCAGGTAATCCATGTCTGCTTACTGACAAAATCTATTGGCGAGCACAAGAGACAGGTCTTCTTAGTAGTGACCCTGCAATTGTGGAGCTCTTCCTTTTAATATTTATTTGGCTCCTTCAGTTCTGCCATTCAAAATGGCCTTGATTCTTCTCCCCACAACTGCCTTTTAAAATACAGTGGTACCTCAGGTTAAGAACTTAATTCGTTCTGGAGGTCTGTTCTTAACCTGAAATGGTTCTTAACCTGAGGTACCACTTTAGCTAATGGGGCCTCCCGCTGCCGCCGCACGATTTCTGTTCTCATCCTGAAGCAAAGTTCTTAACCTGAGGTACTATTTCTGGGTTAGCAGAGTCTATAACCTGAAGTGTCTGTAACCCGAGGTACCACTGTATACCTTTAAAAACATACACACACAACCAGGAACACATTCAATAAAAGCACAACCTGCAGGAATTGAGAAGAAACATCACATTAATAAGTGCCCTACCAAAACTCTGTACATCTTATGCTTTATATGACTGTGTCCCTCCACAGCGACCCAGTCGTATTTGGAGAGTGTCTTATGACAGCTGACCTTCTTTTATGAAGTCAATAAAGCAGGGTCACGTTTCACAGAAAACACCCATCTCTTCTCACTCTGTTGCTCCTCCTTCAGCAAGCTTTTTTCCTAGAATGCAACGTCCCAAACCAGTGCATACCAGTGCTCAGTATTTGTTCCTTTCATCTTGTTCCTAAAATTTGGCTATGAACCTGTGCACTGCCACAGGAAACATTATCAGACCCATATGCAAAAAAAAAACACCTTGGCATTTGGTGACCCCGGTTCGATATCCCTCATGCATCTATTTTTCTATATCCACTCACTGCTTTAAGGCTCTGCACCTGAGGGTCTGCTGTTCTCCATTTCTCTCTGTACATCACTTTGTGAGGGTTTGGCCACAAAAAGCAAAGAATACATTGCAGGAATAAATAAGTAAGCTAAGAGGCTGCAGGTGACTATGAGGCTCAAAGAGAAACAGAAGAACTATAGCTCAGGGGCAGAACATCTGTTTTGCATGCAGAAGGCCCCAGATTTATTCCCTGGCTTCTCCAGGTAGTGTTGGGAGGGAAGCCCTGTCTGAAACCCTGGAGAGCTGCTGCCAGTCAGTGTGGACAATACTGAACCAGATGACCCAATGGTATGACTCAGGACAAGAAGAAGAGAAGAGTTTGGATTTGATATCCTGCTTTATCGCTACCCGAAGGAGTCTCAAAGCGGCTAACATTCTCCTTTCCCTTCCTCCCCCACAACAAACACTCTGTGAGGTGAGTGGGGCTGAGAGACTTCAGAGAAATGTGACTAGCTCAAGGTCACCCAGCACCTGCATGTGGAGGAGCGGAGACGCGAACCTGGTTCACCAGATTATGAGTCTACTGCTCTTAACCACTACACCATGCTGGCTCTTCCTGCGCTTCCCCATCGGAAAACAGAGTTGCTATTTCCAATCAGAAGACAGTAGTCACACCACTCACGATAAGTTGCAGTTGGGAAATATTTAAACATCAGCTGTCGCAGCCTCAGCAATCTTGCTTTAGAAGCCCTAAGAACATTAGAACTCAAAAATTATCCAGACAAGTTGGAACTTTGTGGGGCGCAGGCAAAGAAACCCTTGTCAAAAGGTAGGGTGCTTTATTTTGAGTGAGGATTTTAAAGCAGGGTTTATTTATATCTTGCTTGGTCCTATTTCAGGAAAGGTATGAAGGCATTTAACATTGGCTAATGCAGAGTTACGTAAGTCTTGGCCTACAGGCTCTGCTTCTGAAGCACTGCTGTATGCAAAGCAGGAAGGAGACACTAGAACAGCTTTTCCCAACCTTGTGCCTGGCAAATGACGCTGGACTTCAACTCCCATCTGACTCAGCCAGATTGGCCAATGGTCAGGGATGATGGGAGTAGGAGTTCAACAACAGCTGGAGGCCATCAGGCTGGAGTGAAGGCTTAACTAAAAGTTTTTAAGAGCTTGGGGGGGGGCATGTGATGCACAGCAACCTTGCTGAAGGTAAGCACACCTGGGTCTGCTCTGTGAGATGGTCGAGAAGTCACCTGCAAAATCTTGCAGCTGTACCATCCTACATAGAACTACTCAATGGGACTTAGTTCTGAGTACAGATGAATAAAATATGCCTGGTGAGTTTCATAGAAGAAAGGCATTTTTTAAAAAAATGGCCCAGTGCCCATGGAGAGGAGTTGGGTCAAACTATTCTCATCTGTCATGACCGCCCAAAAATAATAATAATGGAAGTAACAATACACAAGTGAAACTGACCTGCTGGTTTTGAACAAATGAAGGTCAACTTCAGAAGACAAAAGGCCTGCCTTTATTTGTTTAATAGATCGGTATCCAGCTTTTTTTAAAGGGACGTGGGTGGCGCTGTGGTCTAAACCACAGAGCCTAGGGCTTGCCGATCAGAAGGTTGGCGGTTTGAATCCCCGCAATGAGGGGTGAGCTCCCATTTCTCGGTCCCTGCTCCTGCCAATCTAGCAGTTCAAAAGCACGTCAAAGTGCAAGTAGATAAATAGGTACCGCTTCAGCAGGAAGGTAAACTGTGTTTCCGTGTGCTGCTCTGGTTTGCCAGAAGCAGTTTAGTCATGCTGGCCACATGACCCAGAAGCTGTACGCAGGCTCCCTAGGCCAGTAAGCGAGATGAGTACCACAACCCCAGAGTCATCTGTGACTGGACTTAATGGTCAGGGTCCCTTTACCTTTTTATCCAGCTTTTTGACTAGAATTCTCAAAGGGGACTGGCAACATACATTTCACTGCTCCATTTAGAATAATATTATTACGTCTGAGTACAGTATTGTTAATTTCAACATTAACTTTTCCAACACTACAATATCCCATTCCTTTCTGTACCAGTAATTCTGTACCTCAATCTTTCTGTTGGGAAAGATTGAGGGCACAAGGAGAAGGGGATGACAGAAGACGAGATGGTTGGACAGTGTTCTCGAAGCTACAAACATGAGTCTGACCAAACTGCGGGAGGCAATGGAAGACAGAAGTGCCTGGCGTGCTCTGGTCCATGGGGTCACGAAGAGTCGGACACAACTAAACAACTAAACAACAACAATTCTGTACCATATCCCTCCAAAACCTTGCAATCATGAGTCATGAAACAGCCAATAGTGTTCAACTAGCTCCCTACTATAAACTATAGAATATCACCTTCCATAAGAAGATTAAGGAGTGCTGGTTGTGGTGAGGGTAAAATACAACACTTTATGATAGATCAGATTTCTCAAAAGACTGTATCCCAGAAGGCTTTGGCTTTGGGACATTCCCACCATAGATGCAAATATGTTCCTCACCCATTCTGTATTGAGGCTCTCGGGTCTTTGCTGCTCCTCACGCAGAGCATTATCAAGGCAAACAGGAAGAAGAAGGCAGCTGTGGCAAAGCACATGCGGTATACCGATTTGTGACCCAGGAAGGACTTGCAGGCGACTTTACCGTGGACACCGAAAACTGTATTGCCTTCATCACAGAACCCAGGAATCTGGTAAAAGGTACACATAAATAATAGGTTTAATCTTGGTACATGCCTAGCAGAACTGCTGCCTTGCAGCAGGAGTGCCTGTTTGCCTCCACTTATGCTCTGCTTGCATATTTGGAAATAAAATTGTTTTTCCAAAACACTCTACATTTCCAGAACACCCTTTTATCAGAAGGAAACTAAACCACTCAATGTCAGTCTTGGTACAGTACTTCTAAATCAGGCACAGAGAACTTGTGGCCCTCTAGAAGTTGCCAGACTACAATTCCCATCATGCCAACCATTTTCTGGTGCCAAGGCAGGCCCTACTACTACTAGGCAGAGTGAGAGCAGCAGATTCTTGGGAGTGAGGCAGCAGTCCCCCCCCATTCCCTCTGCACCCCCTAAGCTACCCTGCGCTCTCCCATTGCCAGCTCAGTTGGATTCCATGTGTGGAAAGGGAGGGTGCCATTTTTGTCCTTTGCCTCAGGCAACAAAAAATGTCTAGAGCCCTGGCTGGGTCTGATGTGTTGTTGTTGCTGCTGCTGCTGCTACTGCTGCTGTTGTGTATTTTGTGTTCTCATTCTGTATTTTGTTGTTGTAAACTGCCCTGTGACCTTTGGATGAAGAGAAGTATACAAATAATAATAATAGTAGTAATAATGACGATGATGATGATGATGGCTTCTTATAAAAGAATGAGTGCACAGATCCTGGCCTTAACAGAACATCTTGGCTGTGGGTCCTGTAATACCTGCTCCCTGCTTTGCTGAACTTTTCCCACCTTGCCTGGGAAGACAGGACCCTGACTTACTCTAGCTACCAAAGAAGAAGAAGAAGAAGAAGAAGAAGAAGAAGAAGAAGAAGAAGAAGAAGAGTTTGGATTTGATATCCCGCTTTATCACTACCCAAAGGAGTCTCAAAGCGGCTAACATTCTCCTTTCCCTTCCTCCCCCACAACAAACACTCTGTGAGGTGAGTGAGGTTGAGAAACTTCAGAGAAGTGTCACTAGCCCAAGGTCACCCAGCAGCTGCATGTGGAGGAGCGGAGACACGAACCCGGTTCCCCAGATTACGAGTCTACCGCTCCTAACCACTACACCACACTGGCTCCACAAAGCCTTGAGTGTGGTTTTAACTGTGGAAAGTCAGCATACAAATAAAACGATGTATGGTTGGAGATGTAGTTTAGCAACATCTGGAGGGACCGCAAGTTAGCCACCCCATTGAAACATGGTTGCTTACCTTGTAGAGTTCTGCTTCTACTCCGGGGATGATCATGATAATAGACACCAACGTTCCCAGGAACAGGAAGAAGGTGAAGCTCAGGCGTGTGATGGTGGAGTTCTTTGTTGAGGGGCAACAGCCGCACAAGAGACAAGGAGCAGAACCACAAAGACACGACACCTGGCAGTGAAAGAACAGCAATGAATATCCGCAACAGGGCAAAGATTTATTGTTTATTATTACATTTATACTCCACTTTTTCCTCCAAGGAGCTCAAGGTGGCATACATGGTTCTCTTCCTCTCCATTTTTATCCTTACAACAACCCTGTGAGGTAGGTTGGGCTTGAGAGACTGTGACTGCCCCAAGGTAACCCAGCAAATTTCATGGCTGAGTTGAGACTTCCCCACACTGATTCTTTCTTTCTCTTTCTCTTTCTCTTTCTCTTTCTCTTTCTCTCTTTCTCTCTTTCTCTCTTTCTCTCTGTCTGTCTGTCTCTTTCTTTCTCTTTCTCTTTCTCTCTCTCTTTCACACACACACACACACACGAACAAACTGGAGGGTGCCAGAAACATTGAGACAGGAGGCACATAGACCATGGCTGTTGTTGGGAAAGAGGTTATATCTAGTGAGTACCGTAACTTCAGATTACTGGTCAGTCAGCTTCAGGTTTCAGAGCAAGATTGTATCTCAGGATACAATGGAAACGTTTGTGACTTGAGGGGGAAAGCAGGTCGCTTTTTAGCTTTCCTTTCTTTGTCCTTTTACTCCTTTGGGACGTTTATTGTGTGCCTGTAACTGTTCCTAGACCAAAATGTTCTCTTTTTTCCCCCTTTATGAACTACATCTCCCCCCCCCCTTTTAAGTCAACTTTTAATGTTGTTTTATTAAAAACCTTATGGTCTCCCTTAGTCCACGTCAAAAACGCCAAGTCCTACGCTATCTCAAGGTGACACAAAAGGAGTTTTAGGCCGATAGGTAGAAGGTAGAAAAATAAAATCATCTAGTGGTGATCTAAAGGCAAGAGTGGGCGGACAGAAGGGGATATCCAGTGAAGTGAGGAACTCCCTTCCCCACAAAGCACAGGACCCAGGGAATCTGGGGTGCCATAACAACCACAGTGAGGGGGAAACAAGATGGCAGATCATTGGTTCCTCTTCCAAAACCCCACCCTGATAGTTAGTAGCATTTGCAGCCTCTGACACAGGACAAGAGGGTATCAGGTTGGCCACCCTGATGTAGAGATTATTAAGACTGTTGAGGCTACAATCTGTCCACTCATTCTTTTATGAGAAGCTGTATTCATAGATTTCCTAATAGTGCTCTTACATTCATGGCGTTTGGAGTTAGTTAGTTACTTAGTTTTACAGAGTGTGGAAATAAGTACAGTGGTACCTCGGGTTAAGTACTTAATTCGTTCCGGAGGTCCGTACTTAACCTGAAAGTGTTCTTAACCTGAAGCACCACTTTAGCTAATGGGGCCTCCTGCCGCCACCACGCCGCCAGAGCACAATTTCTGTTCTCATCCTGAAGCAAAGTTCTTAATCTGAAGAACTATTTCTGAGTTAGCGGAGTCTGTAACCTGAAGCATATGTAACCTCAAGCATATGTAACCCGAGGTACCACTGTAACGGCTTATGACATCGGGTAATATATTTTCCTGCATGAATCTCAGCTCCTTATCTAGGACATTCTGTATAGCAGCTTTCACCCACCTGGTGCCCTCCAGATGTTTTAAACTACAACTCCCATCAGCCCCAACCAGCACTGTTGATTGATGGGCACTAGCAAAATCAGGTGTCAACTCCAGGGATGCTGTAGGCATGTATTTTTACATCTGGATGCTGTACACATGTGTGTGATTTTTACAGCCTTTGGGGTTTTCTGATTGTGCGTTTTCCCCCTTCCCCAACAAGGCTGCACAAGCATAAAATATGGTGTATTAAGGAGAATATGGCACAGCAGTGCCAGATTCCCCTGTGTGGCTTATATGCCACTATGATTGCTCCATAAATATACCAAGTTAAATAGTAACTTCCAAAAGATAAGCCATGCAAAACTCCAGTAGTTTTCTGCACTGAGTGATCAAGACAGCTAAATTTCCTTCTAAACATGAAAGCAGTGCTAGGAAAAGGAGCCCTTTCCTATTATTTCTGGAAAACATGACCACTTAAATCTCTCCCTCAGATTCCCTAAAACTAGATCAAATCACTGCTCAAAGACTGATCAGCCAAAGACTGGATGACATCGACTTACAGCGAAATTATACGCTGGGGGGAGGTGTTTGTTCGCCCCAGAACATTGGTATCACTTTAACTTACTGCGTTCCATCATACCTCTCCTCCCTTTCGACTGTTGCCCATAGACTGGCCTTCACCAAAGCGAGGTTTAACGTTTTTCCCTCCAATGTCCTGAGACATAGATTCTCAAAGGGCCAAGCCTCCGCCATGTGTGAATGTGATAAGGAGACGCCGGAGTCGCTCCAGCACATTATGTTCACTTGCCCCTTGTTCAATGTGCCACGGGCAAATTTGTTGGGATCAATCATACAGAAACTAGAGGGTACCCCACCAAAATTCCACCTTGCCCAAATCCTGCAGGATAAGGATACCCATATGACCCTGAAAGTGGCTAGGTTCCTGGTCGCTGTCCTTACCCAAAAGTGACGCCAAGGAGCACTACAAGCTCATTAAGGCGTAGTATGCCATCCCATCTTATAGTATTTTAATTGTTATAGTGGTGTTTTAGCGGCTGTTTTTTCCCACGTGCACAAGCTGTTATTTATGTGTTGTTTTTATCTGTATGGGCCTATGGCCGTAATAAATTTTCTTCTTAAATGTGCACACACTATACACCATTCACTGCCAACACCACCAGACAATGCATCTTCCAATTTTACAAAATGTATTTTCCAATATTAAGATTAAAACGTAAACTACAAAAGCAGTTACTCTGATTTATTAGCAACCCATAATCTGATCCCAATTTTTGGGATTTTTCTTCTGGAAACATTCAGAACCAATCAAATGGTTTCTAATGGTTCTTTGTGTGTCCCCCTTCTTCTGTATGGGTGTCTTTTGATCGGAGCTTTCCAAACTGTGTGTCGTGCCATGTTAGTGTATCGGCTGCAGTGTGTAGGTGTGTCGCACCAACATTCCCTGCGCTCCTCCCAGGGCTGGAAAGGGGTTAGTTTAACCTCTAGTTTACAAGCAAAATTGAATTACTGTGTCGCGAAATGATGCATGCCTAAAAAGTGTGTCAGCGACATGAAAATCCCTGTTTTGACTGTGCTACTGCCATTATCAAAACTGCTCTGAATATTGTTGAGTTATTGCTTAAGGCAGGGGTCAGCAAATTTTTTCAGCAGAGGGCCGGTCCACTGTCCTTCAGACCTTGTGGGGGGGCCAGACTATATTTTGGGGGGAAAATATGAACGAATTCCTATGCCTCACAAATAACCCAGAGATGCATTTTAAATAAAAGGACACATTCTTCTCATGTAAAAACACGCTGATTCCTGGACCGTCTGCAGGCTGGATTGACAAGGCAATTGGGCCGGATCCGGCCCCCAGGCCTTAGTTTGCCTACCCATGGCTTAAAGCCAATGTTGTTAGCCACCTGGGCCACACTGCAGAAAAGTGGGGGTATCAATGCTTTGTAATAAAGAAATATTAGAACTCAATAATAATGAGGATTTGAAGTTCACGATGTTGTCATAGGTGGAAGACAGCTTTCAACTGCAAAACAGTCATTGCAAAACATTGCCCCGTTTCTATTAACTATTACCCAACCCCAAATGACACATCACAATCCAACATCATGAAAATTAGACCATTTGTCAGAGTCTGTCCACCCACCTTTTCCTGGGTCGGGTGCTTCCTCAAACACACACACATCACTATTTTCCATTTTCTCTCAAAAACAGCTGGCGCATTCTTGCAAATGGATATTTAATAGTGCAGAAATATAGGGGGCCTATGAGGAAAATATACAAGGGACACACCCTCCTTTGTTCAGAAGTTTCAGTGTCTCAGCACAGTTGCTCATTACAGAAACTTCACAGGTTGCTCCACATTTTCAAGCTATTCTGTCACACATTGCATGACTAAGTCCATGATGCTGTATAGGTGCACAATTACTAAAGAGAAAGCCCCACAGCACCCAGTGGCCCTTCTGAGTAGACACATGCAGGTAAGGCTTCGCAGCTGTCCTCAAATATAATACTGTCACAAAAGTGCGGTGCCTGCCTCTCTCTCTGCCAAGCAGTGGCAAGAGTGCATGGGGTCACAGGCGCACACACACAGGGTCTGTGTCTGTTTGGAGAATGGAAGACCGCCTCTCCTGGTATGCCCCACAGAGGACCTTAAGGTCCATGAATAATCATAGTTTAGAGGTCCCGGGCCCTAAGGAAGTCAGATTATCCTCCACCAGGGCCAGGGCCTTCTCAGTGATGGCTCCGACCTGGTGGTATGCTCTGTCCCATGATTTAACTTCCTTCCACAGAGCCTGTAAGACAGAGCTATTCCGCCTGGCCTTCAATTTGAACTTAGCCTGATCTTTTATTCCCCTTCATTCCCTCCCCCTCCCCTTTTTATGAAGATTACCCGCTCTGGGATCCCACAGCTAATTCTACCCTGGTCTCCTCGCTGGCTCAAATAGCACTAATTTAGCCAGCTAGCCCTGGTGATCATCTAATGTTTGTTTATTGGATGGATTTCCCCCTCAATTAATTTTTGAATTCAGAATTTATTGTTATTTATGTTTTATACTGTATTTTATGCTGTTTTTTGTTGCATCAATTAAGTGTTTTAAATTTGTTGTTAGCCGCCCTGAGCCCAGTTTTCTGAACTGGGAAGGGCGGGGTGTAAATAAAAAATTATTATTATTATTATTATTATTATTATTATGAAAAGGCTCTGGGTTCAGTTCCAAGCATCTCCAGGGCTGGGTAGGGAGGGACCCCTATTCTGGACCCCTGAAGAACTGCAACCCATCAGGCTACACCAGCTGTCCCCAACCTGGTGCCCTCCAAATGCTGTTGGACTCCAATGCCGATCAGCCCCAGCTAGGATGCCCAGCAGTCAGGGATGATGAGAGCTGGAGTTCAACAACATCTGGAGAGCAACATGCTGGGCAACCTAATCAAGCTGGATGGAATGGTGGCCTGGCTTGCTATAAAGG